AAATAAAAAAACATATTATATATAATATATTTATATGTATAAAAAAATTGCGTCATTTTAAGCATAATATAATAATATGTTTGGGTGCGTGTGTATTTATTTTTAAGCGACTACTAAGCCATATCAATATTATTTAAAATAAAGAAATCTTAGGAACAAATCAAGTAAATTGTACTAAAAAAAAAAAATTAAATTATAAAAATACTCAACAGCTGTGTTAAATTAACTAGATTAATAAAGCTAATGACCAAAATTGTTTAACCATAAATAATTAAACTTCAATTTACAACAACAACAAAAAAAAAAAATTATAACGATGGATTTATAATTATAAGCTAACTACAAGTACTATTTAGTAATTTATTTAAACTTGTTAATTATTATATTAATTTACTTAAAATAATTCATCACGGTCGCAAAAGACACTGACATGTTAAAAACCTTAAAGGTAATGGAGTACTCAAAACAGATCACCCTGTATATAAAATACAATGGACTTAAAAAACATTAACCTTATATTAAATAAACAATGATCAAAACCTTAAACATCACTTAATATTAAGTCTTATGAATAACTAAATTATGAAAATGCTATACAAAAATGTTGATTCAGTTTTTAATTTTTAATATTTAAGTAAATATGCCCAATAATAATTGATAAATTGAAATATTAGAATAACTTTGGGTCACGTTTTAGGTTTTTTATTTTATCTCAAACTAATGATTAACATTACTTAAATTAATTAACTAGTAATTTTTGATTAAGCAAGTATATTTTTAATCATGCTCACCCCTACTCTGATTTTTCTATGAACTCTATTCTTCAAATGGGAACCTTTATTATTTACAGTAAATAATTTAGCAGACAATTTTCTTGGAAATTCTGATGCATTTAGATCAAAATTCTAACRAGTAGTTTTTGAGTAATTAAAATGTTTTTACCAAGTATAATAATGTTTAAAAATAATAACAAAATGTAATATTATATGTAGTATTTATTTTACTTGGATCATTTTAACAAATAATTTATATTGATAAACTTATAGTAATTACTAGGGTAGAGGACTTGTAGCTCTAAAAATGCAAGCACTTATGCACTAAAAAAGCCCATTATATGCAATTAAAATATGAACTTACAATTTTTTTCTATCCTAATTTTAATCTTAATCGAATAAAAGTCCACATGGTGTAAGCATATATCTGTGGTGGTGATGTCGTAGGTATAGTATACATTAAAATCGTTATCGCTTCTAAGAAAAATGTGTGCCCGAGCACAGGTCAAAAACCATATTAAACAACAAAAATTAAAAATAAATACATTTTTATCCAAACCTTTTGTGTGTAATGTTTGAAATAAAAATGTCACGGTGGAAAAAATCAATTCAAGTAAAATATGTCTCAAAAAATATAAAATAGCATATATATATAAGTGTAAAATATGCCCTACAAACCAAAAAAACGTAAAATATGCATTTAAATGCACAATAAAATTTTAAAACTAGCTTTTTGGAAGCATGAAACGTATTTGTTTCGCACTCTGCTATTTTTGTGACTGTGCAAAAAAATATGCAAATGCTACAAGTCTTCTGCCCTAGTAATTACCAAGGCCTGTTTCACRTGGACACGTATCCTATGCACGCTGATGAAAAGGTGTATCAAAACAAAACACTTTCTTATACTCAACTTTTTAACTTAAGATTTTTCAAATTTTCTAAGCCTCCATATCTACTAGGCACATAACTATAGATATATTATCATGGACACATTATTCTTAGTTTATAGTTATATAACTCAAAAACTACTGCTTGAATTTTAATTTAAATACATAAAAATTCTCAACACAAAAAATTTGCATAATAATTAAAAAGTGGTTCCTATTTGAAAAACAAAAGTTTGCATTTTCACAGGATCATCCTTAAGTGATATAAAACATCTTGAAGATTTAAAAATAAGTGTATTTAAATATAATTAAACATAAAAATAGGATGAGTATGCTTAAAAATCATGATGTATACATAATATTATATAAATACATAATTATTATGAAAAAAAAAAACAAGAAATAGCTAATTGATGAGAAGCATCTTCTTAGTCGTGAGTTGACTCCATCCAACATATATACAACAACATACCATATTTTGTGGTAAATGTTTAATATTTAAAGTAACAGAAACAACAGGTCATATGGGCATAGCATCTTCTAAATATAATTTAATATGGTACATAAATTAAAAATAAGCAATTAAAACATTAATTACTTAAAATAAAATAAAACTATTTCTAATAAACAAGAAATATGTATTGGGATAGTTTAAATCATGAAAAAAAACAAAATAATTTGTCACATGTGTGAGACACCATATAAGTTGAAGGTAAAATGCAACATTAATCCACAGATTCAGGTTCTGACACATCCAATTTAGGTTTTTTACAATCAGTAACGAGATCAGATTCTTCTTTTACATCATCAGTAAGTGAACGTTTCTGGTGATGTTTGAACTTAACAATGATACAAGTCATGTTATCACAGCCAACTCCAGCATTTGGTGTATCAGGAGCCAAACATACTTCAAATAACTATGCCAAAGAGATAATGGTAACAATAAATGTATTCTAGATAATTAAATATAATGTAATGATTACTTCTTCACAAATTAATGATAATTTGATGTCGGGACAGTGAATACGATTTGATATGAAATCAACTGCTTTCTGATTGCACAATGAGTTCCAAATACCATCACACGCTAAAACTATAAAATCCCCATTTTCTGGTTTCAAGTCAATGGCTTGCACATCAGGCAGAGCAGTAATCATTTGCTGGGTATTTGGAAATAAACTATTTGTCTTGTACATATGATCACCTAAAAATAATTGAACGTTGTTTACATTTTTTTTATCAATTATTAAATACTCAACAAATTTTTACCTAAAGCTCGAGACATATTAAGACCATGGTTGATTCGTCCATCACTTGATACTCTCCCACCAGCTGCAAGGATTCTCTTCAACTCGGATTTATCTTTAGGCTTATGATCTTTTGACATGGCATGGGCTTTGCCACCAATAGACACCACACATCTAGAATCCCCAGCATTAGCCACATAAAGCTTATTTTTTACTAATAATGCTACAATTGCTGTACAACCACTGTCTTTTCCAGCCTGAAAAAAATAAATTTGTTTTGACTATTAATTAAAGTCATTACTCATTAATATGAAATATGTTTTTACAATGTAATTTTTATCAATATCAATGGCAAAATCTATAAAGTAAATGATTTTTGTGGTTACATAGAAGTTATTATATAACAGCTAAACGCTTTTTACCACAAAAGATTATTTAGTATAAAATTGTATGATCTGTAATATTATATACTCTGTCTCAAAAGAGAATAATCAGTCGACTGAACAGTTTTAGTCAATGCTGCACATATTCCACCAACTATCTGGTATTAGATTGATGACATGGTTCTAGATACCCTAATCACATCATTGAAGATGCAAAAAGTGATTGTTCTCTTYTGAGTAAGAGCATACTTTAACATTATTGCTTGGCTAGGTGTTGAATAATAAAAATTGTACTATATGAACCTACCTACTAATGAAACCATTGATTCTTAAATCTTAAACAAAATTTAAATTTAATKGTTTGGCTTGCGAAATCCTGTGTGTGCTTAGTTAAATCTGACATTTAAAGAAAAAAAATAATATTGCTTGTATTACATAAAAAATTTTTAATGTTATAATATATTACCAATTCCGTTTCAACAAGTTTTTTTTCATCTACATCGCCATTATCTGAAAAAAAAAATAAAAATAAATATTAATGTTAAACTTTAAAATTACAAAATTATAATAACCTATCTAAGCAAATATTAATTATTTAAAATGCATACTACATGTATGATCAATACCAATATGACCTATAWAAAAAAAACTATTTGTTAATTTAATTAAATAATTTTGTGGTCATTTTTTTAAATGTAATTACAAATTAGAAAAATATTTAGATATTTAAGAAAATGAAACTTCATTCAAGTTGATGTATTCTTTCTTGGAGTCTGCAGTGGCACACCATGCATACCTTGTGTGCACGCCTATGATTAACTGTTAGCTACTTATTTATCTATACAACAATTAGATTAATAAAACTTATGTTCTATTAAAATATGACTAACGCTTAAAGGAATCAAGAACCTATATAGGTACAAAYTAAAATGAGTTGATTTTTGAAAAATCCAACGTGACAATTTTCATAAAAATTATAAGCCTAATAAATAATCAAAAATCCTAATTCATCCAAATAGTAGCAGTTTCATGGTCCATTTAACATTCTTTACGACCTAAGTGCCTATTAGCTTGTACTTATTGTTTAATGGTTATAATTCTTAAGTGCGTGGTGATCAAAATAAACGTAMCAAAAAAATTTAGAATCCATGTTAATAATTTCTCCCCTGAATTAAAAAAAATATRCAATTATATGTATGATTAAATAGATATTTTATGTTTATTTCATATTAGAATAAAATGCAATTTATTACTAAACTGTTTTATTTCAAAATATTTTGGTGGTGAATATCAATTAATAGTTTGTATTCATCAATCATATCAATTAAAGAGTAATAACAGTGTTTAGAATCTTACCATTTTCTTCAGTTTTGCCGTTTTTCAATCGAAGTGTCCTCAGCTTCCTCAATACTGGCGGTTCAATTAGACTGCTGTCAAAATCCATGAAAGCCTTGATCAGTGCTTTTTCATATGCACCTTGTTCAAACAGTTCGTTTTTGATCAGCGAAGGCAACATCTCAACAGCATACTGCGCCACTTCGGCACCGCCATGTCCGTCAAAAACACCAAAAAGTGACATATCATCACCAAAGTCCATCAAACAGACGTGGGCGTCCTGCAAATCGATCATAAGACAACACAACAATTAAACCACCAACGAACATGAAATTAAAGGTATGCGTTTGAAACTCGTCATCSAGAGGCACAGAGGAACGAATTGAACGTTGTGCTAATGTTACCGGTCGTTGAATAACGCCTGGCCTCCCGACCACTGGGTCACCCATCACTCATCTACCAAAGTGTAGGACTCACCTCTTGTTTCTCGCGCCAGCCCTGCATTGAACTGGCGCCACACATGAGCAGGTCGTTCTCCAAGTCCTCRGAATCCTTGTCGGTTTTCGGTTTGTTCAGATACGAACCCATGGCGAAGACGACGACAGCCGTAACCGCACGCAAAACGATGCGAGTGTGGGTGAGAATGTGTGTTCGGCTGAACAATCTCGTGCGTACCGACTTTTTGCGAGCGGCGTACGTGTCGTACTGAGCGGATTATTGATTGACGGCCTGGAATCGGCCGCCGGGACGACTGTGGCGGAAGGCGACTGCGCGGCGTACCAAGCGACGCTGACGACTAAAACAAGTAGAATGCGCCGGCGGTAGAGATACGGGTAACCGGGAACGATTGGCGATCATCCACTATGAATATAATTAATAATATCAGTGTTTGTTGTAATYATTGTCGTAACGAGAATACGAATCTGTACAACAAAATAATAAAAAATGAACTACCACTGGGCACTGACTGTTGACTGATGTTGTTGTTGTTGCAGCGTTGTCCGACGGGTTCCGCCGTGTTATTGGTGTTGTTTACATTTGATTTGATTATATTAGTACAATGATAGTACTATTGAATTTTTTACAATAACAATATTTTAGGTAATAGCATTGATTATAGAATAGATTCTGTAATCAATGGTAATAGGTAGCACCAGACTTGTTGTTGTCGCTAAAATATATAGTTACAATATTTTTGGRATAACATTAAAATTGTTATTTATTATTAATATTATTATTATTATTATTATTATTATCAGGCTCATCGCCCGGGCTAGTCGGTCGGGTGTTTATCACATTTCATTAAAAGTCTTATCATGTCACAAACATTTGGACTTTGAAGTGTAGTGATCACGTCGCCTACAGGTATCASACATCAGTAGTCAAGGATGACTGAAGAAGGTGGACTCTTGAGTTAATTTAAACTAAATTCGGTTTGACTCGAATATTTTCTAAGTTCAGAATATTATTTTATAAGAATTTTATAAGTCCAATTTAATTAATTTAAAGAATAGACTGGCGTGAAGGTGCTCTGGCTAGTCTGGTCAAGTCGTGTCTGAATACAGGCCGTTTCGGGGTCTCTTATATAGTGCTTCCCTCTACTCTCCATAGTCTACTTGCTCTTGTCGCTGTTCTCACGGATGTGGTATAATTATCTAGACTGACGGAAATGTTACTCGCCCACATACAAGCCAAATGTGCATCCCGTGCAGCTGTAGACCTTGATGATTTATATTATTATTAACATTAWAAATATATATTATTATATTACACTTGAACATTTGGTTCTTGGAACTTTTGTACTGATGCATAACCCTACATCCTGTACACCCTTATTGAGGACCTTTTTATAGTCGTCTGCTCACATGATTTAGTATGTCCCTAATGTTAATGATTTCCACGAAATGCTTTCTCTCCTACAATTACAAAGTTGGTCGCACCCTACCCTAGCTTGGTTCGCTTGGTACCTAGTTGATCGTGAACTATACAATGCGGGACGCTAATCCATAGCAGGAGAAATGCTAGAAAAATGTCAAATTTCAAATTTCAAAATTTTAAAAGTATTAAAATAAATACTACAACATTGTAACTATGCTACCGACTACCATGATTAATTAGGAATTTACTGTTATGAGTACAACATATCCGTGAATCCTTTAATTACCTGCAGAAATGTTATCAGCAAGTAGTGTTAGGTATAGTAACATTACGCAAATTACAAATTTCTGTGACGAAATTACATTTTCAATGACGATATTGTGATTTCATAAAATTTTATTTAAATTAAATCATTAAATTGTTTTTACTTTAAAAGTAATTTCKATGGCGTAGGCTAGGTTAGGTTTCCGATAAAAAAATTTAATTMAAATTAATAATAACTTATAACTTTATAAGTAGATATCTAAACAAAAGTCTAAAATAATGATTAATATTATTATTTGAAATTTATTACTGATATAGCTACTTCAGTGTTCTATAGTGTTCTATAGTTATGCATTACMAATCACCAAGTCTGAGAATCAACAAGTTAAAGAGATTAAGTTTAGTAATTTAATTACTTTTCACTAATTTACATACCGAATTACTTTTTTTAGAAGTAGGTAATTTCTAATTTAACAAGTTGAATTTTGTTCTATGTTATGAACTAGCTTTTAATTAATTAAATGAGTTTTTACATTAAGTTCTTCAAACGTTCAAACCACCAAAACCTCTCTTCCCGAACAATCACCCCGACATTTAAAGCATAGCTGGTGCCGTATTGCCGTGACTTATTAGTCCACTATAACAACTACTACTCATACCAGGAAGTACTATTATCATATAATTTCCTCAATCAAGCCAACCAAGCATAGGCGTGCGCAGAGTTTCAATTCAGGGGCAGCGAATATTTTTACCGGCCCATACATRGGTATTAAGTTAACATTTTTAAGCTCAAAATMAAMATTTAACYTTTRRCCTTTAAATWAAAATATTTTAAACGATAATCATTGGTTAATCATAGATTGTTTTTGCTCAACACCGGTATACCAAATCAAAATTAAAAATACATCAAATATCAATAACACATTATTCTTTATTATTATGTTATGTWATTATTATATAGTWATAGTTCGGCCCATACAAATATATTCAAACCGTCCAGGAGCAGCAAGAGCACACCTTGCTGCCCCTGTGCGCACGCCTATGCAACCAAGCTATCTTATGTACCCACATGTATCCTTCTATCTACTCCATCTATTGTGCTTATTGAAAAAATATTTTATTCAGATTGTACAAATTAAAATAAAAATGCTGAAAAGCATCCCAGATAGCAATATCATATTTTAATAACATTGAAAAAATATTGTTGAAAACAGATTATCATTGCAACAATATGTGTTTATGATGATTTTCTGGTGTTTAAAATATTTCCAACATGTTTACACAATAACCAAATGGCAGAAAAAAACATCATTGCTAYAATATTTAATTTCATATTGTAGCAATGTTATAAACATCTTTTGAACAATATGTGACTGCAACATTGTCACAAGTACTTACTATACACCTTTTGAAAATATTGTGTCAATTTGTTTTAAACACCTTAATATTGTTACAATATCGTAAAACCAATAAGTGATTTTTATTTTAATCAAATATTATATTATTTTGTTCCATAAACTTTGACACAATATTAAAACTTTTTAAATATTATATATATTATTATGTTATAATAATAATACATAATATATGCATACTATTTTAGAATAAATTATAGCCGATTGGTATAACTCAGTGTTATATTATTTGTATATATATATATATTTCTTATAAACCTATATCACTATTATTTAATATAATTTGAATTATGTAATATGAATTTAGTAAAGATACACAATAATAATAACAAGTCAAATAAATTAGTTAACTTCACCATATTTTTTGAAAAATAAAATATACATAATATATATGGGTATATTATTTAAATACAATATATTATATTATTATATAAGTAGGTACAAATAATAATAAAAAAGTTGTTGTATACATCTCTTGTATACCATAATAGTATAATAGGTACTTTAAATTAAATTTTATGATTTTTTATAGTAAAATATACATAATACATAATATATGCTAATTAATTTTTAGATTTAGATTCTTTTTTATTAATTAGGTTAGTAGCTTGTGCCATCCACTTTGATAATGCACTTATAATGTCAACATCGGGTATGGAATCAAATTTTTTGATTTTTCTTACTGAATCTGTAATGAAAGTAATTTTGTTATATAATAAAATGGACTCATCATTGAACTCAGATTTAAACATCTATTACAGTGACCTACTCAATGAAAAGGTATATTAATTTGACATCTATATAGTATAGCTACTAATTAATAGAGCGATTTCACCAATGTTCTTTTAAAGATATGTATACCATTACAATATTATATTCATAAAAAAATCTTACCAAATAATAATCTACAACATTTCAATGTTGAAAACTTGTGTTTGCCCTTAAACCCAGAGTATGAATAATGACAAAGAAATTGATCAGTAAATAGTTATTGCATTATTCTTCGGACTGTATCAGAAATATTAATGCCAGCAGATCTTGATAAAATAATGGCCTGTTCATTAAAAGTAAATTAGTAAATGATATATATCATAGATATATATGGTTATATATCTTTTGAAGTATAACTTGATAATTGATAATTAATGTCTAGTATCAGGGCCGGTTTTAGGGGTGGGCGAGCTGGGCGACCGCTAGGGCGCCGATATATCATTGGTACCTTAAGAGTTCAGATATTAAATTTTTAATTCAATTACTTAACCTGAACTAGGGGGCGCATAGTTCTCTAAGACTGGTCTAACCTGTCTAGTATATAATTCTAACTATTTTTTTTAAATAATATTGTATTGTTATTTGTTTAAAATGTMTAAGACATAATACATTAAAATAACTTTGAATTAAATTAATATAGTACCTACATTTAATATACAACAATGATACAATTAATTTAACATTTACTAACAAAAATAATATACACTTACAATCTTTATTTGCATGTGGAGATGTGATGGTCTGATCTGAACCGCTATCATCGTCTGTGCTATCATCTAAAATGTTTAATATTGTTAATAGCTTATATTAAAAATACATTAATGATTATTCATAAAATAATTAAATATTTATCATGTTTAAATACAAACCAGAATTGCCTGAAAAGATAGGGATATCAGCATTTTTTTTTCTTAACGATGGCACTTTTTTTTTTCATTTTTAGAGTCTATGTCTGAAGTTATTTGAACATTTGCAGCCTTTTCTTTAGCATATTTTAATGATTCTAAAATATTAATAAATAAAATATATACCATGTACGTTTTACATATAGTTTGGTACTCATTATATAGTATATATTATGCATTAACCAAAATTTAATTTTAAAAATATATAATATATATATATATACCTATAGGGTATTCAGTGTACAATTTCCTTGCACTATAAAAATTAAATTCTAAGGCATTCGCTAATGATCGCTTTTCAACAAGTTTGTTTTTGTTTTTAATACAGTCTTTGGGCCATGCACATTTGCCATTCTTGAACCAATGACTAGGCACTGCAGCCACAGTATTATCTTTTTTGAATACAACAATTGACTACATTTTTTATCTAAAATAATAAAAAAATTACTAAAATTAATAGGCCATGTAGTTTACGATGTATTAAACTTACTATATATAGTTTAGAATATATAGTATAAATATTTATACAAAAAGGTATTCATAATAATATGTACAAGAGGTATATACAACTGCAAAATATAAAATCAATTTGAATGAATAATTGGCACTGCAATATTTCTATTTTCAAAAATGAAAACTATTGCTTTGTACATTATACTATCAATTTCCCAACATTTTAGTTTATCTGATATTTCTTCAACAATATAAATATCTAGCTTGGTTGATTGTATTGGATTAATGTATAAAGGTACTTGTTTAAGAAATTCATATCCAATAATTAAAGGTTCCTTAGATTTAGCTGATTGTGCAATATTAATAACTTTGACAACTTGCTTTTGTAAACACAAAACTGTCAGCTAACTTATTAACATTAATAGAAAATGTTTGTAATTTTAGTRAAGAAAATTGAGGATTACAAGTAATATTTTCTACAATTGGCCCAT